TAGCCTCGCCACCTGCTCCCAGATGACTGCGTCGCTTTGAAGCACAGAGTGAGGCATGGCAGGCAGAGGCGTACATGGCAGTGCGCCATGCCACACGCAGCAGTGAGGCGCGCATGGACATTCCAGTGCCCCCCCCACTCTCATCCCGCCCCTGCGTCCTTGTGCCAGTCTCCTCGCAACGTCCCCCCTGCATGGCCTCTCCTCTGCTGCTGCTCACAAGCGCCTCAACGCTGCTCGCAAGGGCGGCGAGTTGCGGCGGAGGGGCGGCATGGCGTGGACTGACTTGTTCGGGTGCTGCGTGGGCGCTCTGAGGGGCCCGGCTCAGGTGAGAGGGGTGTGTGGTGAGAGGGGTGTGCATCACTCATGTTCTGACAGCCCCTCACTCACAACTATTCTCATCGCCCCCCCCTCATGGCGTATGCTGTTTGTCCACCCTCTCTCCTTGCTCCCCACCCCCCCCTCTTCCCCCAGACGTTTCTACTGCTCGCCGCCTCTCTCTTCCTCCTCTCTGGCGACTGGCCCCCAGGCCTGCTCGCTCTGCTGCTCGCCACGCTCTCTCTGTTGCTTCAGGTGGGCCTCAGGTGCCGCCTCAGGTGGATCGAGCACCACCTGCAGGAGGCATCCCTAACCCTTCCCAAAGCCCTGGTGGTACGAAGCGGCCGGGTTGAGTCAGTCCCTGCGGCCACAGTGGTGGTGGGCGATTTGGTGATGCTTATAAAGGGGATGGAGGTGCCTGCAGACACACGCCTGATCTACACTGCTGCGCTGCTATTGGACGAAGGGGTTATCCATGGCATGCTGCATGCGCCCTCCCTCAAGTCCCACCTCCCCCCCTCCGCCTCTGCCGTCGACCCGCGACTCTGTGCGAATGTGGCGCTGAGAGGGAGTGCGGTGGAGGAGGGGTGGGGGGTGGGCGTGGTGTATGCTGTGGGCAGTGATACCGTGCTTGGGGGGCTGGTGGGGGAGAGGGGCGGGGAGGAGTGGAGCGGGAAGGAGGGGAAGAGAGGAGGTGGAGGGGTGGGAGAGAAGCGGAAGGGGCGAAGGGATGAGTGGGAGGAGGTAATGGGGGATGATGATGATGACGACGATGGGGACGAGGAGGAGGGGGCCATGGTGGGAATGCTTGAGGTGAGGCGCGAGGAGGGGCAGGGGGAGTGGATCCCATGTGACAATAACGACCCCTCACATCTCCCGCACCATCCACACCACACCACCCACACACACCACGCTGACCCTGACCCTGACCAGCAAGGTGCCACCACCACCACCGAGCACGACATCCCTGGCACCCACCTCTGGCCCTCCCCTGCCTCCCCTCTCCCCTCCGCCCTCCTCCCGTCCCTCCTCTCCCCCCTCTCCCTCCGCCTCGCCCGCCTGCTAGCAGTGTCAGGAGCATGCCTGGCCGTCATGGCGGCCCTCCTCTTCTCCCTCCGCCAGCGCCCCTGGCAGGACTGTCTGCTGCTGCTGCTCTCCCTGCACTTCTTCTCGCTGCCCGACTGCCTGCCGCTGCTGCCCGCAGCACACCTGGCAGAGGCAGCGTGGGGGCTGCGGAGAGCAGGCGTGGTGGTGAGAGCAGGGGGGCAGCGAGCAGTGGAGGCAGCGGCGCTGTGCCACTCCGCGCTCTTCCACCCATCGCTGCTCCCCACGGCCCCCCCTGCTGCCACTGCAGTGGATTCGCATGCGGCACGGGGTGGTGGGAGTGGTGCAGTCGGTGGGGTGGGCGGAGGAGGGGGTGGTGATGGTGGTCTCTGGGGAGGGGAAGGAGGAGGGGGAGGAGGAGGGGGAGTGCAAGGTGTAGAGGTGGCAGCGGTCCTAATGGCAGATGGAACCTGCCTCAGTGGTGCGTGCCTGAGAGGGGAGGAAGGGGAGGGGGGGAAGGAGCAGGTGATGGTTCATGGCAATGTGGAGAGAAGCAAGGTGGTTGTGGGGCAGGGGGGTGGCAGCCAGGAGAGTGCGGAGGTTGGCTGTGATACACCAACAGTGCTGCCACCATCCGCATCAGCAGCATCATCATCATCAGCAGCAGCAGCATGGCCATCAGCTCCATGGTCGTTGTGTGCAGTGCTGGGAGCATGGGCCGTGCTGTGTGACGTGGGCATGGCGGGCAATCGCATGGTGCAGTGGCAGCACGCCGTGAGGCATGTGATGAGCGTGGGTGGCGAGGACGATACAGAGGTTGAGGAGGGGGGGATGAGGGAGACGAGAGGGAGTGGTGATGAGCAGCCAGGGAAGGGGGAGGGGCGTATGCCAGCAAGAGGGGAAGGGGGTGGGGAAGAGCGAGGAGGAGGTGGGGGAGGAGGAGGAGAGGAAAGGTGTGGCAGCAGTGGCGGTGCTGGGGGGATTGCTGGAGGCGAAGAGGAGGGCGTGGGGGAGGGGGAGGGAGGAGGGAGCGAGCAGGGAGGGGAGGTGGATTTGGCGCAGTGGTTGGCGTGGTGTGATGGTGAGGGGCGTGGATGCATGGGGGGGAGTGATGATGTGGATAGAGCTGTGCTCTCCGCTCTGGTTAAAGGCACGTGGGGTGGTGGGCGGAAGGAGACAGCTCAGCTCCAGCAACAACAGCAGCAGCAGCAGCAGCAGCAGCAGGAGCAGGAGCAGGAGCAGGAGCAGGAGCAGCAGGCGCATCTAGAGCAGCAAGAGAAACAGCCAGAACAGCAAGAGCAACAGCCAGAGCAACAAGAGGAAGAGCAGCAGCAGCACGACTCCAGCGACCTTCACCCGTTGCACCCGTCTCTCCCCCTCTCCTCCTTCATCCAATCTCTCCTCTCCGCCAAGCGCTCAGGCTCTCTCCTCATCCATCCCCTTCCCCCCTCTCACCACCACCATCACCCCCACCCTATGCCACTTCACTCCTCTCCAACACACCTCGCCTCCTCTCCTCCTCCCTCTTCTCCTCCCGGCACCTCTTCTCCCCACTCTCCTCCCCTTCTCTCTGCCGAAATCACGCTTGCTGGGATGGTGAGGGGGAGGGAGAGAGACGGGAGTGTGGTGGTGACAAGAGGGGAGGGGGAGGATGTACTGGCACTATGCACACACCTGGTTGTAGAAATTTGTGCCAGTACAGGTGGCAGTACAGGTGGCAGTACAGGTGGCAGTGGAGAGGGTTCAGAGACAGGGGTGGTTGCGAGAGCAGAGATAGATGGAGCAGCAACAAAGAGGCAAGGATCAGAAGGAGCAGCAGTGCTGGGAGGGCTGTTGGATGGGTGCCACGTGGCAAGGATGGATGACAGCCGTCGATCGCACCTAATGAGGCAGATTCAAGACATGCAGCAGGCAGGTGCGTAGTGGGTGGGTGATGGGTGTGGGTGGAGGGTGCGTGGTGGGTGGTGCTTGTTTGTAATGCCTTCAGTTTCATCTCGTGCTCCCTTGCTGCTCTCTACTCATCGCATTTGCATCTTGCACCTCTCCCTCCTCTTCTTACCTTCCTCCCATTTGACCGCCTCACTCTCACATCTCACTCTCTCTCATCCCTCTCCTCTTGTCTCCTCATTCCCACCTCGTCACACTCTTCCTGTCTCACTCTACCTTACTCTTTCTACCCTCGACCTCCTCTCTTTCGACCCTCCTCTCTCACATCTCCTCCCTTTTGCGTCTTGTCTCTTCCTGTTTCCCTCCGCCTCCTCGCGCTACCCTCTCTCTGCCCTGCCTTTTCTGCAGGCATGCGAGTCATAGCATGGGCCCAGAAGATCCCACACATGCCAAAAACCCACCCGCAATTCCCGCACACACCTAGCCCTCACGCACAAATCCCGCAGACACCTAGCCCGCATGCGCAATCCTTGCACACCCCAAGCCCCCACGCACAAATCCCGTCGCCCTCTCGCCACACGCCTTCTTCCTCTCACTCCCACATCTCCACCCCTCCACTGCACCCCCGGCAGCATCAGCAGCAGTCCCCCCAGGAAATTGGCCCCACAGCTGCAGGTGAAGAGCTCGCAGCAGCAGCAGCAGCATCCCCAGCAGGAGGGACAGGGACGGAGCAGCGGGGTTGTTTGGGCATGGCAGAGCAGGGTACAGAAGGGGGGGTTGTGTTTCTGGGAGCAGTGGGGGTGAGGGACGTGTGGGATATTGGAGCCACCCAATGGGCGCTTGACAGGTGGCGACATCAGGGTGTGCAGCCGGTGATGGTGACAGCCAATCACAATGATCCGGCACATGCATCTGCTTTCCATCCCACGCGCAGTGACAGTGGATCTGGCAGCAAGGATAGCTCTGCTATTGTTGCTGCCGCTTGTGATGCTGCTGCTGATGCTATTGCAGTTGACAGCAGTGCGATCGCAATGGTGGGTGCTGCCTCTGCTTCTGCGACTGCTGCCTCTCCCAGTGCAGGTGAGCTGAGTGGAGGGAAGATCATACAGTGCTGATTCTTTTGGTATGGAGGGCACACAAGAAAACCAACACGCCTAAAATTGCACCAGCATGTACCTCTCCTTTTTCCCTCAGCTCTCTCACACACACATGCACACGCACACGCTCTCTCACACACACATGCACACGCACATGCTCTCTCACACACACAGTGCGGCTGCAGCAGACCGTTGCTTGACAGTGGCTGCAGAATAGTAACCAACCCAACCCACACCCTCCCGACCCGTCTCATTCTCGCCTCTCATCCACCACCCGATCACCAGCTGCCAGCTGGCAAAACGTGCTCCGCAATGTGCAGGTGCTGACAGGGCTGTGGGGCGATGCTGAGTCAGCAGCAGCTGCGCAGCTGGCATCCGAGGGCCACCGCCTCCTCTGGTTGCCCCACGGTGCGTGATGCATAGTGGTAGGCGGGGGAGGGGGGGGAAGAGGTGGGGGTGCTGGGGGGCATCAGAAATGGGAGATATAGTATGTGGAGTAGGAATGGGGTTGGGCGGATGTGGGAGGGGGGTATGGCGATTCCAGTATTGCACATGCGTCTCCCTGCTTCCGCCCTGCATACTTTCCTCTCTGCATTCTCCCCAGCCTTCCGGCCTGCATGCTTGCCTGTTCACTCTTCCTCAACGCCTCAAACCGTCTCTCCTTCCCATGTGCGTCCCACTGCAGCTGCCTTCATCCCCGCTCACATCACCACATACACCGACTCCACTCTCCTCTCCCTCACCTCCTCCTCCCCTTCCTCCTCCCACTCGCCCCACTCACCCCCCTCCCCGGTGGTCATCGCGCCTCTCTCCGCCTCGCCCTGCGTCGCCCATAAGGCAGCCCTGCTGCTGCCGGAACCACCCCCATCCGCCCCCCCTCCTGCCTCTGCTCTCACCAGCAGCGGTTGCCACACCAGCATGAGAGGGCAGGGGGAGTTAGCAATGGTGGTGGGGGTGGTGGGGGTGTGCCGGCGTGCGGTGATGCTGCATGTGCGCGCTGCTCTCGCCTTCCACATGGGCGCTCGCCTTGGCCTCACTGCTGCCGTCGCCCTCTCTGCGCTGCTCCTCGGCAGGCAATGCTCTCCCTTCCCTTTCCCATCCCACCTCTTCCCATTTCTTGCCTTGCTTCCCCCCTGCCCTCTCCCCGCTTCTTTGTGTAACATCCACTCTGCTTTCCATGCCCTGGTTTCGCTTGTGTGTCATTTCGTGGCCCTCCTCTTGTTTTCACTCGGCCATTCAAGTTCCGTCCTTCCCTCCGTATGTCCCTCCACCGCCACTCCCGCTTATCCTTGGTTCGTTTCTCAAGCAGCCTGCTGTTCGACCCGCTACACCTGGTCCTCCTCGACCTCTTCATCACCCTCATCTCCCTCATTGCCTACGCTCCCACCCGCCACCTCTCCCTCACCTCATCGCCCCACCACCACCTCCCCCAACCTCCCCTCTCACCCTCCTCATTCACCCGCAGTTTGCTCTCCCCCGCTCTTACCATTGCCACCTGCATTTTCCTCCCCCTCGTCACCCTCTCAGTCTTCACCCTCCTCCTCTCCCTCTCTCTCTCCCCTTCCACCTTCACCACCCCAGCACCCCCTGGCATGGCTGCCACACACGCAGCAGTAGCAGATCGCTCCATTGCCTTCATTCTCACCTGCCTGCTGCTGCCCATTCTAGCGCGCGTGCAGTGGAATGCAGCCATGCACTCCCACCGCCCCCTCATACAGTCAATGCGCTCGCCCTCCAACGCCGACCTCACTTGCTTTGCTTTCCTCGCCTTCGTGCTGCTGCTCGCCCTCTGGGGCGGGCTCCAGGATGCGCTTGGCTTGCTGCACATCCCTTTCCTGCTCTGGCTGTTGCTGCTGGGGCTCCCTTTCGCTGCTGCTGTGCTGCCGCACTGGCTTGGAAGGGAAGCAGTGAGTTTCGGTGGAGTCGGAATGAGAGAGGGCGGGGTGGAGATGAGTGCAGGTGGAGGTCAAGGTGCAGAGGCGAGGGAAGCACTGCTGCTGGTGAGATCTAGAAGCAGCTCGTGAGGCCAGATGATGGGCAAAGGGGAATGACATGCAATGACATTGCTGGGTGTTGGTGTTACCGTAAAAGAAGACCCCCTAGCAGGCCCCTAGATTGCAGGAAAATTTTCCTGATCCAAGAAAAAAACAGAGATGTTGCTGGTGCCAGTCCTTGTCCAGGATTTTTCAAACAGCATTTCCTGTTTTTTCAGCCTTTTTTGGGGGGTCAACATAAACTCTGATTCCTAAGCAAAGTTTTCTTAACGAATCCTGAAATTTCAGCTTTGCAACGAGACTGTACCTGTTTCCGTCAATGCGTGACCACGGGGCCTGCAGAGATCTCCAAGGTTCTGGCCCTCCCTCTAGGCTCTGTGAGGGCGCTTATTGGACCTTCACCAAATTCGTGGCTCAACGCGTGGGGGCAGTGTGAGGGAGGGCACTTGGCCCTTAGCCAAATTTTGGGCCCGGTGTGTGCCCTTAGAGCTATGTATGGGCGAAATTTCCCTCGACCCCTACAATCTCGCCCACCTGAACTGATTCACCCTGCAAGCATGAATTCACTACTAAACCATGCGCTACGTGTTGAGACTAGAAAGAATGAATAGAAGAAGGGAGAACAGGGGAGATATAGCGTTTGGGTTGTACCCACTAAGAACATACCCCATCTAGCCTATAACTTCTACATAACAATATATGTATACGTTGACACATCCCCTAGGCTAGATAAGGGGTAGTGCTGAGCAAGAAACACGCAGCTCAGGCTGGCACTACTAGTCCAACATCTGAGGCAGGGGCCCGAACACCAATCAGCAAGAGTACAAGCAAGACAAAGCAAACCAGGGCGACACTACTAGTCCAACCACTGGAGGAAAAGCCACAAAGCCAGTCTGCAAGGCATAACTAGAAAGGAGTACACAATCAAGGGCCTAGCATGTGAGAGTCAACAGGGACTAGACCTAACTGCAAGCAGTGCCGCTGAGAGCCTGTGGTCTACCGGCAGAGGTGTGGGCTGTGCGGAGGAGAACTAGAGACCGAACCTCTCAAAGACCTCGCGCACCAAGTGTGACTGTGTAAAAGTGATGGTGCGCGCTGCTCTGTCCCTGGAGATCCGCAGGCCAAGGTAGCAGCGCAGCTCTCCCAGGTCAGTGCAGGTGTGTCGCCTCAGCAGCACAGCCTTCACGGAGGTCAGCGCGTCTCTGTCTGCTGTAGCAAAGACCAGGTTGTCTATGTAGACCAGGATGTAGAACGGAGTCTGGCCAGCACGAACGAAGAGCGAAGGGTCAGCAGAGGACGGAAAGAACTGCAGGTCAGCTAGCGTGGCACGCAGCGTGTCGTGCCACTTACGGGGTGCCTATCGCAAGCCGTAGACGGGGAGCCGGAGGAGCCACTAGGTCCCAGGAAGGAAAGTACCAGTGAATCCATGAGGGCGGCGCAGGTAGACATGCTTGTTTAGGCTGCCCTGAAGGAAGGCAGTGGAGAAGTCGAGGGAGTGAAGCTCGTAGTCACGCTGTGCTGCTACGTGTAGCAGCGCCTCAAAAGTAGTCATCTTCGGGGTCGGGGCGAAGGTCTAAAAGAAGTCCACCCCCGCTGACTGAAGCCTCTAGCCACGTAACGCGCCTTGAACACAGGCGGCTCTCCAGGGGGGCGCTTCACCGTAAAAAGCCATCGGCCATCGACTACGTTCACCCCAGGTGGGGGAACTGCGTCGACGTAGGTGCCGGTGGATCTCCAAGATGCCATCTCCTGCTCCATGGCAGCTATCCATAGAGAGGCCCAAGGACCCGAGGTGGCCTCAGCGTAGGTGCGAGGGGTCGGGATGTCAAAGGCGTCGGGGTCACCCTCAGGGACTAGCAGCATGGAACAGAGATGGGGAGCATCCTCTGACAGGAAATCAAGCTCGTACTGCCGCTCCTCCAAGACGTCATTGCCGAGGGCAGGAGCACCTCTGACGGACGGAGGACAGACAGGGTCAGAGACCAGAAAGGTAGCGAAGTCAAGGCGGTGAGAAGAGGCAAAGTCAGCGACAGCAGCTACAAGAGCGTCAAGACTAGAGACAGGAACAGAGGGGTCGGTAACGAGGGAGGCAAGGACCCAAGGAACAAGAGGACGAGCAGCACGAAGGTAGTCAAACAGAGCGGGAGAAGCGACAGTGAGCGACGACGGAGGAGGCAAAGGCAAACGAGGAGGACGAGACGCGTGGGAACGAAGCAACATAGGTTGAGAACGCTGAGCAGGAGAGACAGGACGAGCACGAGAGGGATGGCAAGACCAGACGTGAGACGGAGGCGTCGGGTCAGGAGACAGAGGAGGAGTAACAGGAGGGGAACGAGAGGGGAAACGAGCCGGGAACGAGTCCGGCGGAGGAAACACAGGACCGTGAACAGGAAGAGAAGGAGACGGCGAGGGAGGCACAGGCGAGCGGTCAGGGGAGGGAAGGCCGAGCAGGCAAAATGCGGACATTGGCGGCGACTGCTGTTGCTGCTGCTCAACGCTAACACCTAGACCACTAGCTGCACCACTGCTACCTTCGGTACACTCCACGCCAGCATCCCCAGAACCAGAAACGTCTCCAGCGCCGGTGCCACCCCCGAGCCCGCCGGGACAAGCCATGATAGGAGCCCCAGGACTAGCACCCTCTCCAACTCCAGCACCCCCAGAGTCCACGAACGGCTGCGGCTGCCACGATGGCTGCGGCTGCGGCGGCAGTGACGGCGGCTGCTGCGGCGGCGACTGTGACGAGGGAGGAGGAGACACCAGGGGAGGGACAAGCGGCGCAAACTGCGCCGTGGGGCCACCGGAGTCAGCCGACTCCTCGACGAGGACAACCGACGGGAGGGGAGTGACGTGAGACAAACCGAACGGAGTAGGACGGGGAGGGAGGGGAGCAGGGGCGACCGGGGGAGTGGGAACCGGCAGCCGCAAATTGCGAGTGTCGAGGAGGACGAGATCTCCCACTTTGTAAGTGACGTCATGTCGATGGCGATCGGCTTGTCGGCTTGCAACCAGGTTGGCTTACCTGATGGCCTCTGCTGCTTTTTCTCGAGCGGCGAGAATGTCTTCAGCAAATTGCTGAGACCGGGGCACGGGTGTCTCGATGTTCGGGGTAGAGGGTACCACCGGGTCTTGTCCGTAGTTGAGGAAAATTGGGGACCGATGGGTTGTGGCGGAGGGCGCGTTATTGTACGCGAATTCTAGCAGCGGAAGGGATTTCTCCCATGTCTGTGGGTCAGTACAGGTAGTTCGAATGAGTTGCTCCATGGTTTGCTTGACTCGTTCGGTCTGCCCGTCGGTCTGTGGGTGGTAGGCGGAGGAAAACTGTAGTTTGGTGCCGAACTGGTCCCACAGGTGGCGTCAGAAATTCGATGTGAATTTCGGGTCTCGGTCGGAAATAATTGCGGTAGGCAGTCCGTGCAGTCGAATGACGTTGGCGATGAACAGTTGGGCAGTTTGCTCAACTGTAATCATTTGTTGGCAGGCGATGAAGTGCGCCATTTTTGTGAGACGGTCGACAACCACGAGGATGGCGTCGTTTCCGCTAGGACCGGCTGGCAATCCCGTCACGTAGTCCATCGTGATATGGTGACAGGGTCGCTCGAGCGGATCCAACGGCTGTAGGAGTCCAGCTGCTCGCTGACGGGAGGATTTCATGATCTGGCAGGCGGTGCAGGAGGACACGTACTTGCGCACGTCGTCGGCCATATTCGGCCAATAATAGTTGCGCTGCAACGTCTTCAGAGTTTTGTCGACTCCGAAATGCTCGGAGGTAGGGTTGTCATGGGATTCCTGTATTAGCAGGGTACGAAGTAAATCGTAGCCGGGTACCCAGATGCGAGAAGTATCGCGCTTATTAAAATAGTGTCCAGTGGCAGTGGTATGCTGTTGATGGATAGCAGAGCGGAAGAAAGGGTCAATTTTGTAGCCGTGGGTAAATAGTCCGGTAAGTAGGGGGCTGGTCTGGACGACTAGTATGGCGGCGGTATGGGCAGTGGGTCGAGTCAGGGCATCGGCAATATTGTTGGCGCCCCGTTTGTAGGTGATGGTGTAATGGAAATTTGACTCGAGGAAATCGAGCCATCGGATCTGTTGCAGGTTGAGATTCGGCTGGGCTCGCAGGTACTGTAAGGATTTGTGGTCGGTTCGCACCGTGACGTCAGCGCTTGTCAGGTAGCACCGCCAGGTTTTAAACGCATGGACGATCGCCAGCATTTCCTTGTTATGTACTGTATAGTTTTTCTCCGTGCCCTGCAGCTTCCGTGATTCGTAGGCGACTGGCTGTAACCCGTCGCCGAAATCTTGTAGGAGAACTGCACCGATGGCGATGTCGCTGGCGTTGGTGACGACTTCGTATGGACGGTCAGGATCGGAGATGCGAAGGACGGGCGGCAACGTGAGAGCGATTTTCAGTTGGTCGAATGCAGGTTGCTGCCTCTCTCCCCACCAAAAACAATCGTGATCCTTCAGTCGGTCGGTTAGCGGGGCAGATAACCCAGCCATATTGGGTATAAAGCGGCGGACGTAGTTGACGAAACCCAAAAAACTCTGCAGCTCCTTTAGGTTGGTTGGCGGCTTCCACTCCTGGATGGTCTTGATTTTCTTGGGGTCGATTTTCACTCCTTCGGTAGAAACGACGTGGCCCAAAAACTCCAACTCTTGCTTAAGAAAGTCGCACTTAGACCCTTTCGTCATGTGGCGATTCTTGTGCACCAGCATGAAGACTGGATCAAGATCCTGTAAGTGGTGCTCCCGGCAGCGGCTGTAGATTAGTATATCGTCTAGGTAGATAATAATGCATTTATTCAAACGTTCCCTAAAAATGCCGTTCATGGTCATCTGAAAAGTCGAGGGCGCGTTCGTGAGGCCGAAAGGCATCACCAGGTACTCATAGCTGCCGTAGCGGGTGCGAAAGGCAGTTTTGTGACAATCTTCGGCGGCGACGCGAATTTGATGGTCACCCCCTCGCAAGTCGATTTTCGAGAAGAACTGGGCTCCGCGTAGTTGGTCAAGTAGTTCGTCAGCTCGCGGGATCGGGTAACGCGATTTGATTGTGATCCGGTTGAGCGCGCGGTAGTCGATGCACATGCGGAATCCTCCATCTTTTTTTGGTGTGAACAGTATCGGGGCGGCATATGGGGACGTGCTGGGCCGGATAAAACCCTTCGTCAAAAGGTAATCCAGCTGCTACTGTAATTCTTCAATTTCCGGTTGGATGAGCCGAAATTGTCGCTGCACTGTCGGTTGGGCGCCTGGTTCCAGCTCAATGCGATGGTCTTCTGGTCAGCTTGGCGGCAGTCCAGCGGGCAGGTCGTCTGGGAAAATCTCGGGGTACTTTCGAATCAGGTCCGCTAAATCCGGAAGAACGGCATCGCACAGCTTCGCGATATCTTCGGCTGTTGTCGGCGACGTCACCTCGCGAAGATCAACGGAGTACGCGGCAGCCCCCGCTTTTATCGCGCGCTTGAAAGTTATCTCATGGACTTGGGTGCTTCGCATGCGAGGCCCCGTCCATTTCGGAAGCTCGCGGAGGATTCCATCGAGTTTTATGTTGCAGCCGCCCGTCGTCCAGTCGATCTTCGGGTTATACTGTCGCAGCCAATCCCGTCCCAGTAGCACCTCGCAACCTTCGAGTGTAGTCGCCAGCAGCCCCATCCGAAATTTTACGTGCTCCCCGCAATGAAAGCTGACGTTCTCCACTCACTCCCGTATAGCCAGCGGTGTTCCATCCACTAGTCGAGCGCCAATTTTGGGTAGACACTTGAGTAAGGGAATACCCAATTTTTTAGCCCTGTCCAGCTGTATGAGACTATGACTCGCACCTCCATCCACGAAAATCTTCAGCAACACCCCGTTGACTTTACCCTCCACCAATACAGGGTGATCAGCAGTTTCGTCCACCTTATTCGTCCGGGTCCGGTCGATTGTAGCAATCGGGATTACGACCCGGTGGGGACTGTGTGTCTCGGGCGAAGTAGCCTGCCCATTAGTAAGGGGCCCGGTACTTACTAGCGCGACCCATTTCCCGGTCGCTCCTCCGGCTTCTTCCCCATAGAATTCTGGATGGCTACGAATTCTGGGCAATTGCGTCGGATGTGACCCGGTCGGCCACAGTGGTAGCATACCCCGTATTTCGCGGAGCAACTGCGTACATATCCACTGCGTCCATCCCTTTTATCGTGGCACGCTGGTACTGTTCTCGAGGGCGACCTCCATCGTAGAAGTTCGTCCTCGGCTTCGGTGAGTTGGATGAAGTATTGTAATTGCTTCACAAGGCGTTGCAGTTTTATCTGGTACTGTTTTTCAGGCTTCAGCCCGCCTATGTACATGTCGACCTTCTCCAACTCGTGCATGTAGTCACATCTGTCGACCAACGTCAAGAATGACGCGGTGTATTCGGACACAGATCCCAGCTGCTTCCACAAGCATAGAGTCTCGCGCGCTTTGTCTGAGTCAGGAGCGTGTTCAAACCGCTTGCGAAGCTCTATGCACCACGTTGCCCACGTGCGAATGTGGGTCGCACCAAACAGCAAATCTGCCTCATCTTCGTCGCCGAATTCTTCGGACCACCCATGCTGTCCTTCTGTGCGAGTTGCCGCTGAGTCGACGATGACCTTCCACCACTGTAGGGTGGCCCCTTGCAACAGTTTTAACGCATGGCTGATCCGCTTCTGATCGTCTCGGATGCCCGCCGCGTTAAATTAGATATTCATGGCGAATATCCACTGCCGCACCATCACGCCTTTATTAGCTGGGTCGAAAGGAGCGGGTTGCTGATATCTCACGCCGCCACTTGTCGAGCGCGGGGCTGTTGCTGCTAGTTGTGCCAGCTCCACTGGCGACGGTTGCTGCTCACCCGCCTCGCTCCGTGCATCGTCGCCCGGCTCCTCTAAACGTCTTTCCTGCACCTGGCGAAGCCGTTGGTTCTCGTCGCGGAGGTTGTTGACGTAAAACTGCTCCATTAATGCTTGCAGGTCCACAGTTTCCCGAGCAGAGTTCGGAGCAGTCGAGGTCGTCTGTTCCTCAACCGTCGAGTCTACCGGGGGCATGGCGGTCAGGACAAGGCAGAAGATAGCGCACACGCTGTAGTTGTTGACGTAAAAATATTTACGATCGAAGACAACTGCTGTGCAGCCGTGCTAATCCCCTCTGACCACCCTTAACTAATTAAACGGGAAAACGGAAGGTTCTTGGAAAGCTCGGGCTCTGATACCAGCTGTTATGATATAGGAAGTGTCAATGTACTATAACTTGAGAAATACAAGGTCGCTATGAAGGCACGAGGTTATATAGGGGTTGGCGTACTAGGGCGATAACCTCGGAACGTGGGTAGGTTCGGCAATGTGGCGACAGTGCCGGACGCGACTCGGGAAAGGGTTGGGCCGATAAATGAGGCCGATCGTTACGAGTCGAGGAGTTCGGGTGTACGCGCTAGCGTACGACTCAGTAAGGAATGGAAATTCCTTACAGATGCGGTGGCTGTAAAAGGGGGCTCGTGATTGGTCGAAAGGCAAGCAAACACCTTCGCCCAACCCCTGGCTCTCTCTCTGCTCAAAAGGCTAAGGGAAAGTTGCTATCAATTTTTGTAAATTGGGACCCAGGCGACACCAACTAGTGACTAGAAACTAGCCAGCATACGAGGTTTCTCACGCGCGTAGCCAAGCCTAGACGAAACTGCGTGCCATAAGGAATGATAGGGATTATGACGCAGATCCGCGACGACCGGCTAAGCATAGCAAACCGCGCATAATTCACCCCGAGGGACGAAGTGACGTGGGAGCAGGGACAGAGAGACGCGATAGCAGGGACGGAGAGACGCGATAGCAGGGACGGAGTGACGCGACAGAAACTACCAAGTGACGCTATAGCACAAAGTGGCTGAGGCGAAAGCAGGGAGGAAGCAGCGAGGGCAGGGGAGGGAGAGCGGAGTGAGTGCGCGGGAGGGAGAGCGGAGTGAGCGCGCGGGAGGGAGAGGGGCGTGAGCACGCGGGAGAGAGAGCGGCGTGAGCGCGCGGGAAGAGCGGCGTGATCGCGCGGGAGGGAGAGCAGCGTGATCGCGCGGGAGGGAGCAGCGTGAGCGCGGGAGGGAGAGCGGCTTGATCGCAGAAGGGAGAGCAGGGGCAGCGGAAGGGGAAAGGGGAGAGGGTGAGAGCAAGGGCAGGGGTGAGGGAGACGAGTGAGAGCAGGCGAGGGGGAGAGGCAGGAGAGCGAGGGAAGGGGAGAGGAGTGAGAGTGGAGAAAGGGGAGAGCAGGGAGGGAGGGGAGAGAGAGAGGAGTGCGAGCAGGAGAGGGAGATAGGAGTGAAAGCAGGGAGGGAGGGAGGGAGTGAGAGCAGGCGAGGGGAAGAGGAGTGAGGGCAGGGGCAGTTGGAGAGGAGTGAGAGCAGGTGAGGGGGGGAGGTGTGAGAGCAGGGGACGGGGAGAGGAGTGGACGTTGGGACAGGGAAGATGAGAGAGAGCAGGGTAGGGGGAGAGGAGTGCGAGCAGGGGAGGGAGGGAGGAGAGAGGGCATGGGAGGGAGAGAGGGAGTTAGAGCAGGAGAGGGAGAGAGGGAGTGACAGCAAGTGAGGGGAAGAGGAATGAGAACAAGGGAGGGGGAGAGGAGTGCGAGCAGGGGAGGGAGGGAGGAGAGAGGGCAGGAGAGGGAGAGAGGGAGTGAGAGCAGGGGAGGGGGAGGAGTGAGAGCAGGAGAGGGGAAGAGGAGTGAGAGCAGGGGAGGGGGAGAGGAGTGCGAGGTGGGAAGGGAGAGTGGGTGTCAGAGCAGGGGAGGGGGAGAGGAGTGAGACCAGGGGAGGGGGAGAGGAGTGAACGTGGGGTAAGGGGAGAGGAGGGAGGGCAGGGGAGGGGGAGAGGAGTGCGAGCAGGGGAGGAAGGGAGGAGTGAGGGCAGGGGAGGGAGAGAGGGAGTGTGAGCAGGGGCTGGGGAGAGGAGTGAGAATAGGGGAGGGGGAGAGGCGATAGAGCAGGGGAGAGAGGAAAGTTGCAGGGGAGGGAGAGAGGAGAGTTGCAGGGGAGGGAGAGAGGAGAGTTGCAGGGGAGGGAGAGAGGAGAGTTGCAGGGGAGGGAGAGAGGCGGACCAGGAGAGAAGGGATGGGAGAGAGGGGTGAGAGCAGGGGAGAGGAGAGCGAGGGGAGGAGAGCATGTGGATGCGAGAGGGGGAGCATGAGAGCAGGTAGGGAGGGGGAGCATGAGAGCAGGGAGGGAGGGGAGCATGAGAGCAGAGAGGGAGGGGGAGCATGAGAGCAGGAGGGAGGAGCATGAGAGGCAGGGAGGGAGGGGGAGCATGAGAGCAGGGAGGGAGGGGGAGCATGAGAGCAGGGAGGGAGGGGGAGCATGAGAGCAGGGAGGGAGGGGGAGCATGAGAGCAGGGAGGGAGGGGGAGCATGAGAGCAGGGTGGGAGGGGAGCATGAGAGCAGGGAGGGAGGGGGAGCATGAGAGCAGGGAGGGAGGGGGAGCATGAGAGCAGGGAGGGATGGGGAGCATGAGAGCAGGGAGGGAAGGGGAGCATGAGAGCAGGGAGGGAGGGGGAGCATGAGAGCAGGGAGGGAGGGGGAGCATGAGAGCAGGGAGGGAGGGGGAGCATGAGAGCAGGGTGGGAGGGGGAGCATGAGAGCAGGGAGGGAGGGGGAGCATGAGAGCAGGGAGGGAGGGGGAGCATGAGATCAGGGAGGGAGGGGGAGCATGAGAGCAGGGAGGGAAGGGGAGCATGAGAGCAGGGAGGGAGGGGGAGCATGAGAGCAGGGAGGGAGGGGGAGCATGAGAGCAGGGAGGGAGGGGGGGCATGAGAGCAGGGAGGGAGGGGGAGCATGAGAGCAAGGAGGGAGAGAGGCATCAGAGCAGGGAGGGAGTGAGGCATGAGAGCAGGAGTGAGTGAGTGAGGCATGAGAGCAGGGAGGGAGTGAGGCATGAGAGCAGGAGGGTAGGGAGGGCGGAAGGTAAGGAGGGCAGGAAGGTAAGGAGGGCAGGAAGGTAAGGAGGCAGGTTGCAGCTGCCCGCTTCCCGCCTCCCGCCACGTCCTGCTGCCTACTTCTAGCTTCCCGCTTTCCCGCTCCCCGCTGCGGCCCGCTAATGGCTTGCCTCTCCCGCACCGTGCTTCCCTGCTGCTTCCCGACTGCCCGCTCCGCCCTTCCCTGCTCGGGTTTTGCATTGGAAGGGTTTGTGTGGGCCTGGATATGGGTAAGCTTTCGTATGTGTGGGCATGAATAGGTCCATGCATGCACCCCGTCTTTTCCCTGAATGTCCTTCCCATGTTTCTCATCCTGTGCTCCCTCCCTCCCTGCTCCCTCCCTCCCCTTCCCTCATCCCTTGCTTCCCTCTGCCCCAACTCGCAGTGCCATTCCAACTGCATCCATCATGGCCGTCTGACTTCTCACCATTACACAACGGCCCTCGAACCATGCTTCATGCTTGGTGGTTTCGGGTTGTCATGCGAAGCTGACCACCTTATGTTCATGCATGTCGATGATGTGCCTGTGTGTCACACTGTGTAAGACTAATGACCCACATTAGGTTATGTTGTGAAATTATCATAAGGTTCATTCCCTCTCTCTTGCTTCATTCCCACTCGCTCTGCATCCCCCTCTCACTCGCTCAGCATCAACCTCTCACTCGCTCAGCATCAACCTCTCATTCGCTCTGCATCTCCCTCTCACTCCCTTCGCATCCCCCTCTCATTCGCAACGCATCCCCCTCTCACTCCCTTTGCATCCCCCTCTAACTCGCTCTGCATCCACCTCTCACTCGCTCTACATCCCCCTCTCATTCGCTCTGCATCCCCCTCTCACTCGCTCTGCATCCCCCTCTCTATCGCCCCGCATCCCCCTCTCACTCGCTCTGCATCCCCCTTTCACTCGCGCTGCATCCCTCTCACTCGCTCTGCATCCCCCTCTCATTCGCTCCGCATCCCCCTCTCATTCGCAACGCATCCCCCTCTCACTCCCTTTGCATCCCCCTCTCACTCGCTCTGCATCCCCCTCTCACTCGCTCTGCATCCCCCTCTCACTCGCTCCGCATCCCCCTCTCACTCGCCTCGCATCCCCTTCTCACTCGCTCTGCATCCCCCTCTCACTCGCTCTGCATCCCCCTCTCACTCGCTCTGCATCCCCCTCTCACTCACTCTGCATCCCCCTCTCTCTCGCCCCGCATCCCCCTCTCACTCGCGCTGCATCCCTCTCACTCGCTCTGCATCCCCCTCTCATTCGCTCCGCATCCCCCTCTCATTCGCAACGCATCCCCCTCTCACTCCCTTTGCATCCCCCTCTCACTCGCTCTGCATCCCCCTCTCACTCGCGCTACATCCCTCTCACTCGCTCTACATCCCCCTCTCATTCGCTCCACATCCCCCTCTCATTCGCCCTGCATCCCCCTCTCACTCGCTCTGCATCCCCCTCTCACTCGCTCTGCATCCCCCTCTCATTCGCTCCGCATCCCCCTCTCATTCGCCCCGCATCCCCCTCTCACTCGCTCTGCATCCCCCTCTCACCCGCTCTACATCCCCCTCTCACTCGCCCCGCATCCCCCTCTCACTCGCTCTGCATCCCCCTCTCACTCGCTCTGCATCCCCCTCTCACTCGCCCCGCATCCCCCTCTCACTCGCTCTGCATCCCCCTCTCACTTGCTCCGCATCCCCTTCATTCGCTCTGCATCCCCCTCTTACTCGCTCTGCATCCCTCTCACTAGCTCTGCATCCCCCTCTCTCTCGCCCTGCGCCGTCGATCGTGGATGCGTCGTGGATATGCCTCTGGGCGGTCGTTTCTTTTGGCATAATGTGTCAAATATATATATAACTCATATTTGTAAAGACTGTATAGGGTCACCTCTTAGAGGGTACAACACTCTTAGGTATATACCCTTGTTCTCTCCCTCTATTCTATCATTCAGTTCTCACTCTAGCATGGTATCACGCGTACGTTAGGATCCCCCACCTACCGCTTCCGCCCGTACCCTAGCTAGGCCCCGTCGCGCCCTTCCTGGGCCCTGCCGCGCCTCCTAGCCCCGTCGCGCCCCCCCCCTAGCCCCGTCGCGCCCCTCCTGGGCCCCGTCGCGCCCCTCCTGGGCCGTCGCGCCTCCTGGCCCCGTCGCGCCCCCCCTAGCCCCGTCGCGCCCCTCTTGGGCCCCGTCGCGCCCCCCTAGCCTCGTCGCGCCCCTCCTGGGCCCCGTTGCGCCCCCTAGCCCAATCGCGCCCCTCCTGGGCCCCTGGCGCGCCTCATAGCCCGTCGCGCCCCTCCTGGGCCCCTCGTGCCTCCTAGCACCCGCCGCGCCTGCCTGGCCTTGTCGCGCCTTCCTGGCCCCGCCGCGCCTGCCCGGCCCTGTCACACCTCAAAGCCCCGCCGCCCCTGACTGGCCCGCCGCGCCTACCTGGTCCTGCCGCGCCTGCCTGGCCCCGCCGCACCTGCCTGGCCCCGCCGCGCCTTCTGGCCCCGCCGCGCCTGCCTGGCCCCGCCGCACTGCCTGGCCCCGCCGCGCCTGCCTGGCCCTGCCGCGCCTCCTGACCCCGCCGCCCCTGATTGGCCCGCCGCGCCTGCCTGGCCCTGCCGCGCCTACCTGGCTGCGCCGCACCTGCCTGGCCCCGCCGCGCCTTCTGGCCCCGCCGCGCCTGCCTGGCCCCGCCGCACTGCCTGGCCCCGCCGCGCCTCCTGGCCCCGCCGCCCCTCACTGGCCCACCGCGCCTGCCTGGCCCTGCCGCGCCTACCTGGCCCCGCCGCACCTGCCTGGCCCCGCCGCGCCTGCCTGGCCCCACCGTGCCTCCTGGCCCCGCCGCCCTTGACTGGCCCGCCGCGCCTACCTGGCCCTGCCGCGCCTACCTGGCCCCGCCGCACCTGCCTGGCCCCGCCGCGCCTTCTGGCCCCGCCGTGCCTCCTGGCCCCGCCGCCCCTGACTGGCCCGCCGCGCCTGCCTGGCCCTTCCGCGCCTACCTGGCCCCGCCGCACCTGCCTTGCCCCGCCGCGCCTTCTGGCCCCGCCGTGCCTCCTGGCCCCGCCGCCCCTGACCGGCCCGCCGCGCCTGCCTGGCCCCACCGTACCTGCATGGCCCTTTCGCCCCGGCTCGTCCTGCTGTGCCGCCTCGGGCTCCGTCTTCTCCACTCGCCCGTGCTGAGGCGCTTCGTGGTCACTGTGTTGGAGGGGGCTGTAGCTGTGTTACTGTGGAGCTGTGCCGCTGACCCTGCACAATGGCAGACTTCGTGCTCCGACTGGACGCCGAGGGCCATGCGGTTGACTTCGCCGCGTGGCTCTCCGACCTCCGCCGCCACCTTACTGGTCAGCGTCAGGATGGCCACTCTTTGGTTGTCCATGTTGACGGCTTGCTCCCCCGCCCCCCTGTACCTGCCCCCCTCCCTGCTGATCCCTCCTCTGATGACCGTGAGACCTTCTCTACTGCTGCGCTTGCCCGTGCGGTCTGGGACTCCCGCGATGCAGTCGCTCAGGTAGCCATTAGCCATGCCCTCCCTGTCTCTGAGCGCTCGCGTTTTGCTACTATTGAGACGGCCAAAGCTTATTTAGACGCTGTTATTGCCCGCTATTCCACACCCACGTCTGCTTCTGCTGGTCGCCTGCTCTTCCCTATGCTTTTCCCAGACCTTGCAGCTTTCCCTACCGTCGCAGACTTTGCCACTCACCTGCGTGCTCTAGAGACCCGCTATCGCACTGCCAGCACTGCTGCCCAGCTCACTGCGCTCCCCCCCCCTTTCTGCATGACGCTCTATTTTATCGCCATGCGCCTGCCAGACTGCCTCGCTAGTGCTCGCGATCACTTCCTTAGCCTGCACCCGGCTGACCTCACTCTCACTGCCTTTGTCGACACCCTCACCGAGATCGAGATTCGCCAGCGCACTATCGCTCAGTCGAGCTGTGCGCCGGCAGTCTCTATCTTTCACGGCTGTGCCCCCTCCCAGTGCATGTTCACTGACGTTTCGGCTGCGGTCGCCACGGCGACCCCTCTCACCGAGACGGCTGCTGCGGTCCACCCGCAGCAGCGCTCGCTCCGCGGTGGCCGTGGTCGCCAGGGTGGTAGGGGTGGTGGTGCAGGAAGTGGTGCTGGTGGTCGTGAGAGTAGTCCGTCTAGGGGGACTAGCATTGGTGGTCAGGAGCAGCAGCCCCAGCCGCAGCAGGAGCAGCCCGCGCCGCAGCCGCCATCCCAGCAGCAGCCGCCGTCCCAGCCGCAGCCCCCGCAGCAGTGGGCTCGCCTCCCGCCTGGTTGGCCCGGCTCCTCAGGGGGTGGTGGCAGTGGTGGCGGCCCGCGCAGCTTGGCGTCTACCAGCGGCTCCGGTGCTGTCACCTGTCAGTACCAGCTTCAGACCGGGCCCCTTCGCGGCACTCTGTGCCGCCGCCCGCACCCGACTGCTCGCTGTTTCCGCCGCTTTGACGATCTGCTTCGTCGTCGCTTTGGCCCGGCCCCGGACCTCCCCGACTGGCACAGCCTGCTTCGCCAAGGCGTGCGGATCTTTGAGTTAGGCATGGATCAGATAGGTGCTGCTTTGCATGCCATGTATTCTGACGCTGCTAGTGTTGCTGGATCTTATTATCCTGTGTTCTCTAGTTTAAGTGTTGCACCGTTGTGTAGCCTAGCCTCCCCTGCTGCGTCAGGCGTAGGACTGCCTAGTTTGTCTAGCCTCGTCTCTGCACCGGCTCCGTTCCCCGCCGCTGCCACTGCTGCGGTGTCCTTCACTCTCGACTCCGGTGCTTCTGCCTGCTTCTTCCGCGACCGTTCCGCACTTACGCCGCTTGCTACGCCAGCTGTCGTCTCTCTCGCCGACCCCTCTACGGGTCCTGTCGTCGCTCGCAGTTCTACGTCCCTTCCCTGTCCAGCAGTTCCCTCGGACTCCCTTACAGGCCTCCACGTTCCCTCATTCTCGAGGAACCTGGTTGGTGTCGGCTGTCTCCAGGACCTCGGCGTCACCACCACGTTCCCCGGGCACGAACGGTTCGCTGTCTGTTCTGAGGCTATCTCAGGTTCCCCCCTTGCGACGTTCCCCAGGGACCTGGTGTCCGGTCTGTTTACCCTAGACACCGCTTCCCCTCCGGATGGTGCGTCCTCCCAGGTTGCTGCAGCTTGCTCGTGTCGTTCCCTCACTCACCCGTCCCTTCTCTGGCACCACCGCTTAGGTCACTCTGCTCCCCCTCGTCTGCGTCACATGTCCCAGCACGGCCTTGTCTTAGGTCTCCCTATGTCGCTCCCCGCCCTTCCTCCCTCGACTGCGCCACCGTGCACGCCTTGCGTCGAGGGCCGGCTCCACCGTGCCCCTCACTCCTCCTCGCTGCGCCCGGCTACTGCCCCCCTTCAGACCCTGCACCTGGACGTTTGGGGCCATGCCCCCGTCCCCGGACCGCGCGGTGAGCGCTACTTCCTTGTGCTCGTCGACGACTACACGCGCTACAGCACGGTGTTTCCCCTGGAGCGGAAGGCCGACGTGCCCGACGTTCTACTCCCGTGGGTTGTGGCTGCACGTCTCCACCGCGGTCTCCCCGTGTTGTGTCTCCGCTCCGACCGTGGCGGCGAGTTTGCCTCTGGTCGGCTTGGACAGTTCTATC